CCCAAAAAGGAACTACTATGGGATACTATGGGTAGGGCATCAGACTAGCCTTAAAAACGCCCGACTTGCCCTAGAGGCCTCAGATTCCGTAGACCGGGACGCCCCAAATCAAGATACCACTTCATAACAATAAACACATTGAAGCAAGCTCTAAACACATCAAACTCGTGGATTTTGAAGGGAGTCCGGGCTGCGAAGTACATAGGATGTCAATGTGCCAGTGTGAAAAGGCTTCAAGGGCCTTGAGTTTAAGGCCGTCGAATGTGTTGGCGTTCCCGGGAAGCGTAATGCCGCGAGGTTCGGAGTAAACGGACTTCCGGGAGTGAGTGTAGGGCTTTGGGCTTGAAAGGAAGTTTTGGTTTGTGTTATCAAGCTGAGAAGTTCACAGCCGTAGGGATCATGCAGAACAGTTTTTGTTTTGTGTGTGTGTGGAGGTAGCGCATTCATTCAAATCTTCGGGTGCTTCATAGCATCGAGCTACATCCCCCATCATCCCTGCTGCCAGTGGCCTGGAGCTACGCTGAAATTCATAGAGCCGCGGAGAGTAGATCCCTAAACCCTACACCCCTAAACNNCCTAAGCACTAGACCCTAAACCCTAAGACCTAACTCGGCTCTACTTCACCTCTTTTGCTCTTCTTCCTGGAGCTGTTTGGCTGTTAAGCCTTTTGACAACGGAGAAAATGCCAACGCCCGCTGTTTATCCCACCAGCTGAGATGTTCATTCCTGATAGAGATATATGAAGCAGGTGCTCGCATCCCAGAACAACACCCAGAATACGGTACGTGCCCATCAATCTTGAATGGGAGCCTTACCACACTCATCAAAAACAAACTTCATGTCAAGCCTGCTTCACGTAAACCCAAGAAGGCGCAAGTCGCATGCTCAGCTCCTGAACTACTCCCCACAATACTGAAGTCCTGTCTCTAAGACTGTTCAGAAGCCAAGCCCGAATAGCTCGAAAAACAACAAAACAATCATGGTCCCTTTGGGGAGCCCTATATTTTTTTCTTAATACGGCACCCTATAGTTCGGGAGCACAAGAGAGACCCGAATTTGGACAACCAGCCACCTGCAGAAACGACTGCGCCATGCGCCAGTCGCTGCCCTGCTCCGCTGCGAAGATGCAAGCGGCCATTGTTACGAGATCCTTGCAACAAAAAGCGGCCTCTCTCAGGTTTCTACCAGTGTTCCCATACAGGATCCCTCAAGGTCTCCCCCAAGGAACCCTTATATACCGGAACCCTTAAGAATTCCTCTACAAGGGTTCCTATAAGGGCATTGATAGAACCCGTAAAGGAACCATTCAACGAACCCTCAAAGGAACCCCCAAAAAATCCCTGAAAGCGAACGCTAAGGGTTCTCAGGACCGCCAGGGTGGTGGGCCGAGCTTGGGGCTTTCGGGGGTCTGATTGGTTAGGGGTTTCGGCTCTTTAGGGTNNGGTTTAGGGTTTAGGGGGGTTCACGGTATACTTGGGTTCAGTGTTTAGGGTTCGGGAGTTGCAATGGGCTTGCAACACCTGTGTCGCTTAAACCCTGAAACCCCAAGCGCGAAACGTGGTGGTTCCACCAATGGACACTCAAACTTCTCTATACGAGTCATGTAGCTTGGGCTACAGACGCTTTGGGCTTATCTCATCTACAGGTGCCGGAGCAATTCGAGTAGGGATTCAGGGTAATTATATCATTATGTTGATAGGCATATGGGTCGTTCTCTAAACTA